AACAATAGCCACATATAGCTAAAACATCGTCCACATACTATTTCTTGACTATTCTTGAGTGTTCCTCCTGTTGAGGGACATGCCCGACTTCATGCTAGTCAGCCTCGCCTGCACCACTGTGGCAGATTTTCGGGGGCTGGAGCATCCCCAACCCAACGGCCTTGAGGAAGAGCGGCCGGTGCCCGTGCAGTGGGAAAGAGCCGATCACGGCACAAAGACAGAAACTTGCGGGCACTTTCAGAGGTTACGTGTGCCGTTCTCATCAGGTAGAGTAAGGAAAAAACGGCATAGACATGAACTCTTGGATCTCTCGGATCTGGGCTAGAACCCTCTCCCTGGCGCGCGGAGCGCGCCAAGGGGCGGCGCCAGCGACGCCGCTGGGGGTGCCCAGCGCCAACCAAACACATCGCAGGTCAAGACATCGGAAACGCATATTGATTTAGAGAACACTAACATCTATTTTGAAAAGCGGTATCTGAATGACAGTTCGTGTTATTCAGCATCCTGGCGATTCTCAAGGTAATTTCTCCGTACATTTAAAATCTTCATTCTGGTGGAGATTCAAACTGTTTTCTCATTCTAACATATCCAAAAGAACAATCTCATGTTAATTACCCTTCCTGAAGCGGTAGGACAGAACGAACAATTTAGACGAGGGCGCCAGATGGCCTCCCTGCGATGGCTTCGGCTGCGCAAGCGAGCAGTGCGCCCGGAACTGGCCCTGCGGGTGGCGGCTTTCGGCCGGGCGCGGGCCTCGTCCCCCAGACGCGGGAGCGGGCGGTGTCCCCCCGCCGGCACCAAGGATGAGCTCTGGCCGTGTGGTTTCGCGGTGTTCCCGTTTCTGTGGCAACGTCCGAGCTCCAGGGACGCCGTTTTTTTTTTTTTTTTTTTTTTTTTTGTTTTTTCCCCCGCGCGCGGAGCATGAGGCCCGTACATCCGGCGTCTCGGGCCCCCACCTCTCGACCACCTCCCCGGGGCCGGTTCTTCACCCCGAGCCGTTCCTTGACGGCCCCGAGCTCCGGGGAGTGCCCCGAGGGGCCGAAACCTGTGGCAGACTGTCTCCCCTTTTTGTTCGAGACGCGGGCTGTCGGGGGAGGTCTCGACTCCGCCCCTGGCCCAGTGCTAAGCAGCGCGGCGCCCTGCCTGGCGCGACGGCAGTTCGAGCCGCACGTGGGCAGGCAGGCGCCCCATTCGGGATCCACCAAAGGGGGGGTGACCCTGATGGGGGACACGAATTCGATCCGTTGGTGCACCGAGCCGCCGCAAACCGATGCCCCCCGCATGCCCCACCCATCGACAAGTATCGGGAGCTGCCTGCGGTTGGGGGGCATTTGCTTTGGGCGGTTCGGTGCAAAAACCGATCGAACTCTCACACAGACACACAGTCACACACACAACACACACAACACACACAAACACACAACACACACACACAACACACACACAGCGCACAGAACCCCCAGAACACACAACACACAACTCACACAACTCACACAACTCACACAACTCACACAACACACGCAACACATATAGCACAACACACACAACACACATCACAAAGAACACACACCACACACCACACGCCACACACATCACACACAACACACAACACACCACACACAACACACAACACACAAGACACAACACACACAACACAGAACATACACACAACACACAACACACAACACACACACACACTACACACAACACACAACAAACACAGCACACAATACACAACACAAGCAACACACAACACACAATACACAACACACAGCAAACACAACACACACACAACACACAACACACAACATAACACCCACACAACACACACTACACACAAAACACACAACACACACCACACAACAAACACACCACACACAACACACAACACACTACACACATCACAAATAACACACACAACACACAACACACAACACACAACACACAACACACAACGCACAACACACACACACACCACACAACACACAACACACAAAACACACAATACACAATACACGCAACACACAACACACACAACACACACAGCACACACAGCACGCACAACACACACAACACACACACACGACACACACTACACACAACACACACACATACACTACACACAACACACAATACACACAACACACAACACACACACAACACACACCACACACCACACACAACACACAACACACAATACATATCACACACACCACACACACACCAGGGCCCCCCCGCCAGGCCCCCCCCCCCGCCTTTGCGGGATTCCGATCCGGCGCATGCGAACCCTGCCACTGGGGCCTTCGGTGGAGAGAGCTCCCCAAGGGGCCGCGAACCGCGTGAGGGGTGTTCCAAAAGGGGCGTCGGGCGCCTGCGAACCCTGCCACTGGGGCCTTCGGCAGAGCCCCCCCGTGGGACCACGAACCGCGTGAGGGGCGTGCCCAAGAGGGACGTCGGGCGCCCCTTCGCAGCGTTTCCGCGCCGCGTGCCGGAGCTGGCCGCCTGCAGCAGTCAGTTCTGTTTCGTGTTTTTGTAAGCCCCGACGCGCGGAAATCACGCGAGTCGAAAGGCACTTGCGCGCTCGTATTCGATCAAAGAGGGGCGAGGGAGGGAGGGGGGGTGAAACGCCCTGCAGGTCAACGTGCCAGAATCGGGCGATGGCAGGACTGGGTTTCATGGGACCTGGATTAGTGATCTGCACCGGGGACGCCCCCGCCGTCCCATTCCGCTAACCGGAATTGCCGTCACCCGAAAAGCACCAGCTACGGCAGACCTGGCTTCGTGACTCCAATCCCTACTTTGGGCTTCGGGGCCCAATCACTGACCGGCTCCCCTCCACCGGGGTCCTGGCTACTCCAGAATTTCGTAAGAAAAGGGAGGGGGTCTGGACCCTCCAAGACAAGCCATCTCAGACCTCCCCCATGGGAGAACCCTCCAAAACATCCTCCCCAGACCCCCCAGGCCCTCCAAGATGGTCTGGAAGAGACCCCCCCCGAAATGAGACCCCCCCTCCCTTTATTACGAAATCTTGAGTATATGCCCGACGGGACCTGCAGAAAAGAACAAGCTCCAGGGGCTCTCCGCCGAGCCGGGCCCCCTCGCGGCCGGAGGGCGCCGGCCAGTTGCGCACCTGCACGCCGAGCCTGGCCCCCCGCCAGTCCGGGGCCTCCAGGGCTGGTCTGGGTGGCGTGTGCCTGGTTCGCCAAGCCAGGATGAGGTCGGGCGTGTCCCCCTACAGGGGGCATTTTCGTCGAAAAATAAAAAAATACCCCCAACATGCTCCAACATGGCCAAACCAGTACTCAAACCATAGTCCCCAGACTATTTTTTTGTTCTGCTATTTTTGAATCTTCCTGGTGGAGGGACGGGCCCGACTTAAGCCAGGAGGGCTCGTACATGTGGTCGGCCCACACCCAAGCCCCCCTCGAGGCAGGACAACACTCACGACGGGAGGTCTCTCGCCATGTTCGGCCTCCGTGTGCCCTCGCCGGGCCTCGGGACCGTCAACAAACAAACATCGGGACGATCGCAGAGGGCACGATGCCCAACACCAGTTCCTGCTCATTCTGGACAGGACTCGCTCTCCGCGCCGCCGCGGGCGCTGTTCTTTGAAGACAAAGAGCCGCCTGCCCAACACCGGCCGCCGTCGGTTTTGGACAACATTTGTTGTTCGGCATTGTACTCATTCTTCCGTACCCATTTCGGGCGTCCAGAAAAAAACGGCTCGGAACGAAAAACCGGTCCTGGGGAATGGGTCGAGACCTCTGGGGGTCGACGTTGACAAAAATCATGACGTCGGGGGTCTGGGTTTGGTGGGCCCAAAAGTGGGCCCAGCAGAAAGGGAGTGGTGCAATAGATTTTGGGCACTCGTATTGCAAGTGTATTGCGCCGGAGAACTGTAGCGCGTTGTATTGCGACTGATGTCTTGCACGCGAGAATCCAGCAACACATTTGCGCACCGGACTGCATGGCACGCCCCGAAGCTATTGCGGCCCCACAGATCTAGTGCACCAAGTCTCAAGTCAATTGCACCACCTTCTTTTCGCTGGAGCCCATTCTGGGTCAACCAGAACACACGGATGCTAGGCCCAGGGTGGGCCTGGCCAGGATCAGTGCAGGCGTATCAACTGGCACCCTCCGATCTCCTGGCAACCCCTCCAGGGGCCTGGGCCCCTGGGGCCAGAGGTCGGCCCCGCAGAGCGCCGAAGTCGTCACGACCAGCCGCCGTGCCCTTCCCCTCCCCGAGGGCACCCGAAAAGACTCGAGGGAGCTCGGGGAGCCCGCCAGGAGCCTACGACAGCCTCCGAGAGCACACGACAAGAGTCCCCGAATCACCTCCGGACGCCTCGACGACGCCGGCGCCTCGGCGACGACGGCGGCGACGTCGACGACGGCGGCAAGAGGGACGACGTGGTCGACGACGCTGACGTTGACGCTGGCGACGAACGACGGACGATACAGTGGAGGCCCGTCCACGAGAAACCTTCCACAGGAAAGCCAACCCTGAGACCCCGGGGCGTCCACTGATGTTTGGTGTGGGAACGTCGCGTTTTCCATCGCAAAACCATCGAAACCCAAGAAACCCAGGGCACCCTGGAGGCGAGCAGGGTGTTCCTTGGCATGGGCCTCCACTGTATGCGACGGACGATGGGCGACGGACGACAGGTGACGGATGGCATCGACGGACGAGGACGACGGACGACGACGGACGATGGCGGACGGCGACCCGCTGCGGGCCTGGAAAGCAGGCGCAGCACGCTGCGGATGCCGGGGACGCCCAGCGGGTTGTGGGCGAGGCAGATGTCCTCGAGCTTCGGCTGGCCGTCGAGACAGTCCTGGGCCGGCGGGGTCAAGGATCGGGCTCGAGTTGATTGCTTTCCTTTCGTTGCCTCATCGAAGATCGTGGTTCGAAGATCGAGGGTCGAGGTTCGACGTCGAAGGTTCGAGGTTCGCGTTCCTTTCTTGAGATCGAGGCTCGAAGATCGAGGGCCGACGAGGGCGGTCCTCGATGACGAGCGCCGTCCGGAAGTCGATGTGGTTCATCGAGACGTCCAGGTACCTCAGCGGAGCGAGGTCGCGCGCCGCCGCCAGACCCTTTCATCACCCTTTTGCTGCTGCTTCTTCCCGTTCTCCTGCCCCTCTGTCGCTCCTGCTCCCTCCTCCTGCTCGTCCCGCTCCTGCTCCTGCTCCCCGTCCCGCTCTCTCCTCCCTCCCCTCCGCTGTCCTCCCCTTCCACTCCCTCCCCCCTCGCGCTCCCCCTCCCCCCTGCTCCTTCTCCTCCTGCTTCTCCTCGTTTCCCCCCTCCCCGCAACAGAAAGCCCCCCCCCCCCCACACCACACACGCTCACACAACATACACAATACACACGCATATACAGACACACATACACCCATATCCACCCACGTACACACTACAACTCAACACAACGAAGACACTCCACATCACACAACACGCAATTCATAGTGCATAGCACACAGCACACCGTACACAACACACACATCACACACACACATCACATACACACACACTACAAACAGCACACAACACACAGCACACACATTCAAGAGAACACGCACGCAACAGACACAACATAAGCACACACACATACACTAACACAAACACCAACACACAATACATGCACATATATATATATATATATGTACACAGTACGCTTTACGTGTAAATGCGGATCTGATGTTACTAAACATGTTTCTCGCACACGTTCCTACCCGCCTCCCAAAACCCTTCAGCTCCTCCCCTTCCCGTCTCATCCACCCTTCCCCTCCTGTGAATTAGAAGAATCACCTCAAATCCCTCCCCAACCCTGCAGAACTCTGTCAAACCATCTAAGAGCACAGCGCAATCCTCCGCCTTCGCCTCCACATTCCTTGTCCTCGTCCTCCGCCTTCCCCCCTGCCCCCCCCCCACACGAGCACCCTTCTACCCCCAAGAACCGCCAAAACAACGCCTGCGCAAGCACCCCCAAAACGTCGAGACCCGTCAAATTCCGTTTTCTTTTCCATCCTCGTAGTCGGCCCGGTCGTCGTCGTCGTCGTCGTCGTCGTCGCCGTCGCCGTCGTCGTCGTCGTCGTCGTCGTCGTCGCCGTCGTCGTCGTCGGCTCCGCCGTCATCGTCGTCGTCGTCGTCCCTCCCCCCTCCTCCTTCTCCACGTCGTCCGCCTCGCTCTCATCGTTTTCCTTGCCTCTCTGCCCAACCGCCCTCCTCGGTCCTCCTCTTCCCCCTCCTTTTCCTTCTCCTCCTTTTCCCCCACCACTTTCTCCTCCTCCTCCTCCTCCTCACTATCATACCTCTTCGCCATTGCGTTCCTCTTAGGGCGCCCGATAGCCCATCTCAAAGCCTCAGTAACATAGTAATCCACCTGACGCCTCAACAATATAGTGTGCACTATATCTGATTCGACATCGGCTTAGTGTACGGTCGGTAAGGCAAACCTTTAGGGTGTGGTGCGGCTCTCTTGGATGCTTCTCGGTAAATTGTTTTCTTTGCTTCTCCTCCGTGCGATTTCTCCCTTCTCCTCCGTCTTCTCCATTCTCCCCTGTCAAGGGGTCTGGTGTCGTTCAGACGTATTCGAAAAGGTCGGCGTCCGTTTCCTCCTCCTTGGTATCAGAAGAGAGGCTTTGGACCGGCCTAGAACGGTGAAGCCAACCAGCATCGGAACACCCATCTTCGTTTTCTTCTCCCCTCCTCCGCCATTGACCTTACTCTTCCTCCTCCTGTTACCCTCCTAAGCCTTCCTCCTCCCCCTCCTGTTCCTGCATCCTTCTCTTCCTCCTCCTCCTCCTCCTCCTCCTCCCCACCATCCATCTTCCTGGTGAATCAGGCACTGTGCCCCCTGTCACGTTGAGGTCTGCCTGGCAGGCTTTCTGCAGTCTCCAAAAGGACCCCCCACCTCTGCTCGTGGACCGGTGCGTACATCCCCCCTCTCGCGAGGCAGGATCTCTCGCGCGTAGCAAACCACGATGAATCCGCACTCCCGGGGCCGCGATCCGCAGTAAAAGACTGTGGGCCCGCGCTCCCGAGCTTCGGCGACGGTCCAGGCAGCCAACCAAAGCCGCCACGATTGCCTAGTACGGTAGAGGGAAACAATTAGTGAACACCCCCTCTGCCCCCCAAACTCAAAGTTGGCACGCGCGGGGGAGACTGCGGTCGAGGTGCAACTCATCAGACCCACCGCCAACTTTGAACATTGGGGGGAGGGGGAGGCGTTCACAAATGAATGTGGCATGAGTGTTCACTATTTGTTTCCGAAGCCTGTATCTGCCTCCCAAGGCGGCCCAACATTATTGCAGCTGGGCGACGGCCACAAGGCGGCCAAAGGTGGCTCCAAGAACGCCCAAGAGGGTCACAAGAGGACCCCCAACAAGGTCCGAAGAGGCCTGAAGCACGCATCGTCCTGTGGCCTTTGACAGATGCTCGCGTTCTCGCCCTCTCGGGCCTCCGTCAGCTCAAGACAGCCTGAGACGCCTCCAAGGTGGCCCCAAGGCTTAGGTCGGGCAAGTCCTCCTACAGGCTGATCTCGGAAGAACAGTTTTAAACAAAAAGCAACAACTACCCACACATAATAAAACATAGAAGGAACATCGTCCTCTGACTGATTTTTTGACTAGTCTTGAATATTCCTCCTGTAGAGGGACAGGCCCGACTTAAGCCAAGGCGGCTCAAGAGATCCCCCAGACCCAAGAGGCTTCCGAGACGGCCTCTGGAGAGACCCAAGACGGCCGCAGCAGGTTTTTCGACGGCCCAGGGCGACCTGCACCGCCAAGGGGGCTCCAAGACGGTCCTAGAGCACCACGACGGCCTAACGTGGCCCCGGGACGGCCCAAGAGGGCTTCAACTCGGCCCCGATGGGCCCACAACGCAACGGCCCAAACAAGCTCAATGAGAGCTCCTGAAACAATCAAGTCTGAAACAATGAAGGCGCAATGTGTCGCATGTGACGACTTTCCCCTTCCTTTTCCTCCTCCTCCTCTTCCTCCTCCTCCTGCTCTTCCTCCTCCTCGCCGTTATCTTCGTCGTCCTCATCATCCTCACCACGGCTGTCGCAAGCCAATAGACACGAGGTGTCACACGTGACGGTCCCCCGTGCCCCCGAACAATCGCCAACTAGAATGCTGGGCTGGTACGGAGGCGGGACTTGCCGCAGGCAGCTGGATGCCTTATCCGCCCGCGGCCCCAGGCCTCCCGACCCACCCCCGCGGGGACCATTTTGCGCCCTGGAGACTTTCAGTGTGGCCTCAGGGCCCGAAATCGGCCCCCTGGGCCAAGATCTAAAGAACATCCGCAAAGACTGAAACAACCGAATCGTCGGATCATACCATGGATCGACGACGTCGGCAACATCGTAGGAAAAGAACGACCTGAATCCTAGAACCGACATTTTTGGTGGCATTGTTCGAGCCCGTTCGATCTGCGGGGGCCCCCGGGCCCGAAACCGGGTGAACACGCCCGGTGTGAACAAGACGCGAGACGCCAGGACCTCAACCTTTCCCCGACCCGACGACGACGACCACCACCACCACCACCATGACGTCGACGACGACCCTGCAGGGCGCCTCAGGGTTCGGTCCCTGGCCAGGTGCTCGAACAGCGACGCCACTGGCGGGTCGACCCCGCGCACAGAGGAGGAACAGTTCTGCAGCCTCCCAGGACATGGGGGGCAGGCCCAGAAGGGGCTCTCCTCCCTCTTCCCAGCCCCCTCCTCTTCCTCCTCCCTCCTCATCCCCGTTCCTCCTCTTCCGTCCTCTTCAGTCTCGCCTCGCGGGCCCCTGACCCAGGGCGCAGCCAGGACACGGAGCGCCCAGCACTACCATTGATCGCACCGCGAGACTGGATACACGCCAACCCAGCGTGCGACTGCTTCGTGCCAGCCACCCCTTTCAATATCCGAGCGGGCGCCATGGTTCCAAAGGGTCAACCAACGCCGCGAGCTTTCAGTTCCAGCGCACCCCAAGCCAACAGGCAAGGTCCGCCAAAGGGTAACCTTACAAGACCGCCAGGACAACAACCTGGCCCGCAAGGGCGCCTGCGTCGCCGCACTCCAGAGCAGCGGTGGCGCCGACCGAGCAGCCGCTGCATACGACGAGCTCGTCCACAAACGCCAGACCGATCCCGACATCGTCTACCAGCAACCTCGCTCCAACCGGCACACGCTGAGGGGCGCGCTGCTGAGACTGCGCGGGGAAGCTAAGATCAACCAAGCAATGCGGCTATGCTCGCCGGCGCACAGCGCGGGCTCCAGCCGTTACTCACCAGGGTCCACGGCCTCGGCCGATGCCCACTCATCAACCTTGGTGCACAATGCTGGGATGTTTCCATCGCCCAGGTGCCAACCAGGGCCGAGGACGGCGCATCATACACCAAGTGCGCCTCACTGCGTACGCTGAGAGAAGGAAGCCGCCTTCCGCGACAGAATCTCCTGCAGGATCAGCCCCGCGCCCTCGCCGTCCAGGGGCCTGTCAACACGGACTACCCAGCAAAAGAGATCCCAAATCCCTGTGCTCCGTAGGACAGCAAAGGCTACCAAGCCCATGCCAGGCCCCATCCGGGGAACCTTTAACCAACTAGGCTGCACAAAGTCAAGCGCCTGCAGAACGTGGTCCAAGTGACACTGGACCCAACAGACAACCTTCTATGGATCCGCGGAGCCATATCTGAAACAGATGCCATGGGCGCTGCGCCGTCTCTTCAACGGCGCCCGAGTTCGCCGAGCGGTGGCCAGACGCCCCCGCGTCGGCCGCCTCCCTGAATGTACCCGTGCAAGGGCTCGCCCCGCAAGGTCCCCAGCGTCAAGTGCGTGCGCCGCAGGTGCTGACGTCCAAGCCCTCGGCGAGAAAATTCGCAACCTCTACTGCGGCGCGCCGTTTGCCGCCATCCGCCCCGAAGGGGTGTTCGTAGATATCCCAGTTGGCCCTATGCGCCCACATTGTCCCAGGCCGCGCCTTGGAACTGGAAGCCATCGCGCGGCGGGAGTTGCTCCTCGGATTATGCAGGCAGGTGCGGCGAGACACCGGTCTCAACGCGCAAACCATCTACATAAGTGGCCCGATAGGCAGTCCAGCAAGCCATCGCCCAACCGGAGTGGAGCTGGCCAGCCTCCGGCGCGACGTGTGACGACCGGGGCAAGCGCCTCTGGTTGCACTTGTCCAGTGGGATGTTCACGCGCATGCTCTGAGCATCGCAGGGGCATGTCTACCTCCGACGATTTCCCACCGCAAGACATGACCTCAGGCCGGAGGCGGCGGCGAAACAGAGCCTCGACTACCTCGCCACGAAGTGGCTGCAAAAAACCAAGAGTAAAGCCAAATTCACTGCGAGGCAAGTCAGCCTCCTGCACAACTACCTCTGTGGCGGTGGCCACGCCCAACAAACGGACGTGCGCGCGGGGATCGCGGCCGATCCATCGCCGCTGTGCCGATGGTGTAACCAGGAAAAGCAGACTCAGGCGCGCACCGTCTGGAGATGCCCTTGCCGGGCTCACGAGCAAACTGCCCAGGCAACGAATGGCTTCCGACGGGCAATGGAGGGGCCCCCCGCCACGCGCGCGGTACTGCGGGCTACTGGAAGAAGACGCGCAGCTCCTCAACCTTCAGGCCAACCTGGCCCAAGTCTAACTTCCGGACCCCATCCCTAGACCGCCGCCAGAGTGCCAAGAAGAGGACCACTTCGAAGAGTGCGCTGACCCCAGCACTGGGGGCCAGGTGGGCCTCCTCGGCGACGGAGGGGGCCTGCTTGCAGCAGGCCCACCCACTCATCGCCAGGGCGAATTTCGGAGTGCACTACGGGCCAGACCATCGGTTTAATCAGTCGGCGAAAAGTGCATGGCCTGGCGCAATCAGCGCAACGCGCCGAAACCCTCGCGCTGCTTCATCTTACCGCCAAGGCCGAGCGACATGCATACATTTTTGTGGACAACAAAGCAGTCGTCGGCGGGTTCCAAGCCCCCCTCGAAGGATATCTACCACAGACCAGAGGCTCGCAAGCTGACCTGGTAAAGAATTCACCAGGTGGTCCATGCCGAACCAGGCATGTTCAATGCCAAATAATGAACGACCACCTGGGTAAACAAGGGATTCACGAAGGCCGCATCTCGCCTATCGCCGAGGCCATCAACCGCCATGCGGACGAGCTAGCAACAGCTGGATCCCGTCTGCACTCCCTGCCTCAGGAAGTCATCGACGCGACCAAGGGCTGATATACATTCGCATCTGCCCTCTTCAGTACACTGGTAGCTATATGCGACCGTCGTCACCCCGCAATGCCGCTACCAGACAAACAAGATGGCTACTCCAGGTTAAAGCCTCACATAATAAAACCCAACCGTCTCACCACGGGGGGTGGGCGGGATGAGCCACCAAATTCACCCAGTGACCCACCTCATTCGCAAGGCCCACCAAGGCCGGAGTACTATGACGACCTTGACGATCTGTGGGGTAAGCCTCCCGACAACTTCGAAGGATACGAGACATACAACTCGGTCTCGGCGGGGCCCTCGACAATGGTGATGGTAACACTGCTGCCGCAACGCACTGGCACAGTTAGTGCCGCTCGTCAGATCCGATATACACACCCCCATCCCACTAGGAAGTCGCGACAGTGATGGTCACGACGCGGAAGATGAAACCGAATTTCCTCGTCTCGGAAGGCACAGGGCGACGGCGCCTCAGGGGGCGAAGGCCCGCCAGGACCCCACCTCAGACGCTGACGGCCTGGGAGAGGACTTGCGCATGGTGGGCGAAGGGTCGCGGATTGCGCACCGCTGCGGGCCAGCACCGCCGCGCCAACACACTGGGCTGGCCAGTGCGGGAACATACCCAGCCCCCTGGCGCAACACATCCTGCTACCAGGCCCAGTCCCGCCCCACCAGGGACCGGGAACGAAGGGCCCTAGTACCACCCACCAGGGTGCAGGTGCCCGAACGACACCAGCGCAGCCCACCCACCGATCGGATACGTGCCCGCACGTAACGCCTCACCGTGGCCAGGCAAAAGTCTGCCCAGGAACGTGAGACTGCTCGACCCACAAGCATCACGGCGCTGCAACGGCCCGCCTCCAGCCTGGCACGCACGCTGCGTAGCATCCAAGAACTGTCAGGACCCCTCCTTGACGCGACTTGCTTCCCACCGCTAGCGCACCAGCGCCCGCCTCTCCCTTTTCGCGCGCTGCGAGCACACCTGGCAACTTGTTCCGCAAACGAAGCATTGGACCGTCGAGGGGGATGCCCCAACGCGGCGCCTGCTTCTCCAGGGCATCGAGGTGCGCATGCCCAAGCGCGCTAAAAGCAGGACCCTCCCTGCAGCACGGGCGCGCAGAGGGGCGTGCCACGCCCTCATGGCCACGCCCTTGCATTTTTTTTTCCAGTCGGGGTCCCTTCTTGACCGCGCCAGGGGGGGAGGATTTTTCCACTCCTATCGTTCAAGCGGCGCCTTACGCCAGTGAAAGGCCAGCCCGGCAGGAGCTAGCATCCTGCGGGCCAGGACGAACCCATCGTCCGAAGTGGTGCTCTCACTACTCCGTCCTCTTCCTTTCTCCTCCTCGCCTCCTTTTCCTCGTCCTCCTCCTCGTCCTCCTCCTCCTCCTCCTCCCCTCCTCGTCTTCCTTTCCCTCCTCCTCCTCCTCCTCCTCCTTTCTCTCCTCCTCCTCCTCCTCCTCCTCCCACTCCTCCTCCTCCTCCTCCTCCTCCGCCATTCCTCTTCCTCTTCTCTTTCTCTTACCTCCTCGTTCTCCTCCTCCTCCTCCTTTTCCTCTTCTCTCTCCGAACCCCTCCTCCTCCCTCCTCCCTCTTCCTCCCTCCTCCTCCCTTCATCCTCCCCCCCCATCTTTCCCTCTCCGACCGCCCAAGGCTGGCAGGGGTCAGGTCAGGTTTGAGTCTCCTGGTGTCGTTCTCCGCAGGGCGTTACTGCTAAAGAGACCGTGCCGGCGGACTCACACTTGAATCTCTCGAGTTCAACGAACCATCCACCTCCCTCCTCCTCCTCCTCCTCCACCTCCTCCTCCTCCACCTCCTCCTCTCTCCTCCCTCCACCGCCGTGCCCCCCACCCCCCCACAGACACAGACACAGACACAGACACACACACAGACACAGACACACACACGCACACACAGATACACACAGACACACACACACACAGACACTCACACAGACACACACACACATACACACAGACACACACACAGACACACACACAGACACACACACACAGACACACACAGGCACACACACAGGCACAGACACCGACACACACACACACGCAGACACACACAAACACATACACACATACACACAGAGACACATAGAGACACACACAGACACACAGACACACACAGACACACACTGACACACACACACAGACACACACAGACACACACAGACACACACACAGGCACAGGCACACACACACACACACGCACGCACGCACGCACGCACGCACGCACGCGCGCACGCACGCACACGCACGCACGCGTGCACACGCACAGACACACACAGACAGACACACACACACTGACACACACACACACACGGACACACACAGACACAGACACACACAGACACAGACACACACACACACAGACACACACACACAGACACACACACACACACAGACACACACACACACAGGCACACACAGACACTCGCCATCGCTCGGACGTCCATTCCCTGTGTTTTTTCGGTTTCGCGTGTGGTTTTTTCGCCAAATGATCAAGGATGCTCCTCGATGGTCCTCGCCGAAGGAAGAATGCACACGTCCGAGCGATGCCAAGGACACACACACATACACACAGACACACACAGACACACACACAGACACACACATACAAACACACAGACACACACATACAAACACACACACACATCAACACACAGAGACACACACACACAGACACACACAGACACAGACACACACAGGCACACACACAGGCACACACAGACACACAGGCACAGACACACATACACACACACACACACACGCACGCACGCACGCACGCACGCACGCACGCACGCGCGCACGCACGCACGCACACGCACGCACGCGTGCACACGCACAGACACACACACAGACAGACAGACACACACACACACACACTGACACACACACACTGACACACACACAGACACACACACAGACAAACACACAGACACACACACACATATACACACAGACACGCACACACAGAGACAGAGACAGAGACACAAACACAGAGACACACATAGACACACAGAGACACGCACAAATACGCACAGAGACACACAGAGACACACACAGACACATTCACACACAGACACACACACAGACACACACACAGACACACAGACACAAACAATCACGCACACAATCACGCACACACACACACACCGACCTCACCCGGAGCATGCCGTGGGCAGGAAATCGAGGTGCCTGGCTGTGGCGACGAGGGCCCCCAAGGAGGCCCTAAACATGTTCGGTCGACAACATAATTTGTCAATCATCCATCCCTCCTTCTCCCTCCTCCCTCCTCCCTGTTCCCTCCTGCCTCCTCCTCCTCCCGCTCCTTCCCTCCCGCACTCCTCCCTCTCTCACCTCTCCTCCCTCACCGACAGGAATTGAGCACGGCTCGTCGCCCAATCCAGCGTTACATCAACCTTCCCCCCGACGTCCCCCCCCCTCCGAGCCCTCCTTCGGCCCCTTCCTCAGGGCTGGCCTCTCACCTGGAGGAGCCTTCTGACGGCCCTGCAAGGCCCGCATAAGCTTAGGTCGGGCATGTCCTCCAATTGGCGGATTACACTAGGAAAAAAACACATGGCCAAGCAATATGCAACAATAGTCAAAGAAGTACGAAAAATCGTCACCAGACTATTTTTTCCATTCTTGAACATTCCTCATGTAGAGGGACACGTCCGACTTAGGCATAAGCTGGCCCCAGAGAGCCCCACGACAGCAAAGACACTGGCGGCCTCGCCTTTTGCCCGCGCCGTCGGACGTCCGGAACGTCCCTGGCCACCCGACGGTGCGACCAGAAGCAAGGCGAGCTCGCTCCTCGCCGTCCTTGTCCTACTCGGCCTCCTCCTCCTCCTCCGCATCCTCCTCCTCCTCCTTCTACTCCTCCTCTCCTCCTCCTCTCCTCCTCCTCTCCTCCTCACTCCTCCTCACTTTCCTGCCCTCCTCCTCCTTCTCCTCCTCCTCCTCGTCCCTCCTCCTCCTCCTCCTCCTCCCTCCCTCCTCCTCCCTCCCTCCCTCCCTCCCTCCTCCTCCCTCCCTCCTCCCTCCCTCCCTCCTCCGTCCCCCTCCTCCCTCCTCCTCCTCCCTCCTCCCTCCTCCTCCTCCCTCCTCCTCCTCCTCCTCCTCCTCCTCCTCCTCCTCCTCCCTCCTCCGCCTGCTCCTCCTCCTCCTCCTCGGCCCTCCGCCTCCGCCTCCGCCTCCGCCCGCCTCCCCCTCCCTCCTCCCTCCTCCCTCCTCCTCCTCCCCTCCTCCTCCTCCTCTCCTCCTCCTCCTCCTCCTCCTCCTCCTCCTCCTCCTCCGCCTCCGTCCCGCCTCCTCCTCCTCCTCCTCCTCCTCCTCCTCCTCCTCCTCTCTCTCCCTCCTCCCTCCCTCCTCCAATTTCTCCTCCTCCTCCAACTATTTCTCCTCCTTGTTCTCCTCCTCCTCCTCCTCCTCCTCCTCCTCCTCCTCGTATGTTGAACACCTCCTCCTCCTCCTCCTCCTCCTCCTCCTCCTCCTCCTCCTCCTCCTTCTTGTATGTCAACCAAACCTGGTTTCTATGATTGTGGCGTTCTCCCCCTCTCCCTCCTCCTCCTCCTCCTCCTCCTCCTCCTCCTCCTCCTTCTCCTGCATCCCTCCTCGCGCCGTCGGATGTCCAGGGTGTTCCCTGCCAGCTCTCGGCGCTCCCTGCACGCAGGGGGCGGGGAGGGGCGGGGGGGGCAACTTTGTCGGCCCGCGGCGGTGCCGTAGCGAACGGAGCGTGCTGTTGAGGACGAGCCGCTCGCCGAGGCGGGAGAACACCCCGTCGTCGAAACAGTTCCTTCCGAGGGGGGGAGGGAGGGAGAGAACAATGAGAGAGGAGGACCAGGAGGAGGAGGAGGAGGAGAAATTGGAGGAGGGAGAGGAGGAGGGATATGAGGAGGAGGAGGAGGGGGAGGAGGAGGAGGAGGACAAACTCTCTCTTCACAAGCCTCATGCAATAATTCATTTCCGCTGAGGGAAGTGCCCCGTTGGGGGACAACCGTGTGCGAATCCTGAAGCGTGCCAAAATACCACTCAGGACTTCAACGTCATGAATCAACCAGACTGTTGCGCCGTGATGTTCCTGAATCGTCCCAGAACACCATTCCTGGGACTTCAACATCGCGAAGCAACGTAAATGTTGCGCCCTGACAACCCTGAATCGTTCCAGAAAAACCATTTCTGCTTCGTTAACCATGAGAGCACATGAAACTCTGACAACTTATTGAAACGAATGTGCACGGCGCATCTTGAAATCCACCCGCACTGAACCCGTGAAATTCTGGAGCAACTGTTTAAACGAATGTGCGCGGCGCGAGATCCACAATTTGGAAGCGAGCCGTTCTCAATCCGAAAACACATGGCAACATTGTACAACGAAAATGCGCGGCGCTAGGGCGATCACCACATTTTGAAAACCGTTTGCCCTCAATCCGTGAAGCTCTTGCACTTTCGTGAATATGTGTAACTCTTGCAAGTGTTTAAAACGAACGCGCGCGGTGCTAAGGCGAGAGCCACATGTTGGAAGCGGCCCGCCCTCCATCTGTGAAACCCGTTGTCAATGATAAGGCTCACACATTCTAAGATAGTCTCGAGCGGAAACGCCCAGCCCGCCCTTCCGACTGGCCTCGGAGAGCGACGGGGAGGAGTTATGCATAAAGAAGGATGGGGGGATGAGCAGGAGCAGGAGGAGGAGGAGAAGGAAGAGAAGGAGGAGGAGGATGGATGAGGGAGGAAAAGGAGGAGGAGGGAAGATGAGATAATCGGAGGAGGAAGGACAGAAGGAGGAGGAAGAAGAAAAGGATGAGGCAGAAGAAAAGGATGAGGAGGGAGGAGGAGGAAGGAGGAGGAGGGAGGAGGGAAGAGGAGAGGACGAGACCCACACCAGGTGAGGGTGCCACCACATCAAACAGGAATCCAACGTTGATCACATCAGAAACTGTCATCCGAGAGATCGGCCTCCTCGTGCTCTCTCCTGCCAGGGACCCGCTGCCCAAGTCCTCCGACGCGAGCGCGAGTAGCGCAAGGCCTCGGATGAGGTCGACCCCGGTCCGCTCGACGACGGGGTCGGGCCCAAGCCCAGGCACCCCTCCTGAGCCTAACTTCGAGGCCAAGAAGGTGCGAGGGTCGTCGGAGAGCGAAAACGCTGCTCCGACTCGGCACTCCTTGCGGGACAGGTGCTCGCCTTGCAACATCCAAACCACGCGTTCCCCTCGCGGCCCAGGGAGCGGGACCCCGAACAGTCCGACACGAGAGCGCTCCGACCCCAGGAACTCCCTGGGCTGCCGATGGACCCGCAAGCGGTGCGAAGGACCTCGGGCCCCAGAGGAGCGCCAGCTGCCGAGGCCGCTGGAGCTTCGATGCAAGAGTGGCCTCTGGCCTTCCAAGGCCCGAGGAGGGCCCGGGCCTCTTCTCCAGGACACGGCGGAGGGGGGGGGGCGGGGGAGGATGACACCTGGCCAGCGCCCTGCGCCACGCCGCTGGCCGTGGCGCTCCCTTCCTTCGACGACGGACGCCGCTCCGACGCCCGCCCCGCCCGCGCCGCCGCCATCCTCCCCCAGGACATCTGGCTGCAGATCAAAGGAGCCGAGAGCGACGCGTCGGGGCCAGTCTGGCGGGACACGGTCATGCAACCCCAGCACCTGCCATCGTGGCCTTCTGACGGGCCGAGCACCTAACCGCCTGCTTGGCAATCTCATGGCAGCCGGTGATGACGAGACGATCGGCGGGGTCGCTGCGATACAGCTCGGCCCCACGGCGTGCATGCGCATCCGCCGCTGGGTTGCCGAGCCACTGAGGTCGGGTCAGGCGGCCTTCGATCACGTCCGTCTCTGCACAATGGGACGGGACTTGGGCTCGTCCTCCTCTCTCTTTCCCTTTCCCTCCCTTTGGGGGCGGCCCCCGAAGGAACCGCCCCAGCAAGTCCCGCGAGTTCGACCACGGTGGGAGCCCTGCGCGGGTGGCGCTACTGCCATTTCCGCCGCCGCTGGGGCTCCACGGCAGCCCTGCCCGCCTCAGGCGGGGCAGGCCCAACGAGGCGAGGGGGCGCTGGAGGAGCGCCCACTCCCAGCCCCCCTGCTCCTCCTCAATCCCGTCAAGACAGAGCGATCATCAAGCTTGTCGTGCACCCGGGTCCGCCAGTGGGACCGCGCACGATCGGGGCCCGCAACGGACCTGGAGTCTTGAGCACAGTCGGAGGTGCCCGCGCAATCAATATTGAGGTGGGCTCGGGGGAAGAGGGTGGCATTGAGACACAGCTGGGCGACAACGCAATCTCCGCCGTCCCGAGAGGCCTGGAGGGGTGCCTCCGCTACAAGCACCACCCCCAAAAACGCGACAGAACGACCCCCCTCCCCGTTCGTAATGGCCACCGCCCATTCCGCCACTGCCAGGGACCGAAGGCGGTCCTCGAAGGCAAATCCGATCGTATGCGCGTGCGTTCCATCCCCCAACCGTCGGCAGGCCACCTGAGACGATGCATCTATCAGCAGGACGGGTCGGGCGCCTTGCACTTGAACCACGCCGAAGGGTCGGGGAAGACCGCCTGGGACAAGAAGTCCTGAACTCGGTCCGAAAGTGCAACAATACAACTGGCCGCATCCTTTACCTCGCTCGAGACCTCGTCGCGTCTCCAAACCGAGGGAGCAGGGCAAGCGCAACGGCGGTAGAAGAGGGCCTCGAACTCCCCGGAACGGAAGCAGAAAGCGTGGATACCTGGCTCTGCTCGGCGAAACGCTGCTGGCATCAACGCTGGCGAGCTATCAAGCCACGGAACGCTCATGGATGATGGGCCGAACGGCCTGCCGAAGCCTTGGCCGCAATCCGGTTCTGGGCAGGGCGAGAGCAGATCGGGCCAGACCATTCGCCAACGAACGACGACTGGCGACCATGTTCATCGGTCACAATCGCGCCTCACCATGCCTGCTTACAGAGGCCTTCGGAGAAGGCGGGCGAGGAAGCGGCCGATCGCCCAGGGGGCCCCATACTGGTCCACAAGACAATCGGCATCGAACATCAACGTCGAGGTCCCAGCCAATCCCGCCGAGGGCGAGGAGGAGAGCGGACAGTGGCTCCTTCACCGCGCTCCAGGGCCTGATATTTCCAAGGGTCCACAGAGCATCATTCAGAACTGACGCGAAAGCAGCCTGAGTCACGTAGCGGTGCGACCAGACCGAGACGAAGGATTTTACAGCCGCCGCAGTGGAGGTGCACGAGCGGGTCGTTCGTCCAGGCGCTACTGCACAGCACTGAAAACCGAGGGACGAGCCTGACTGCAAAGGCTCGAAGCTGCGGGCCGCCGCAAGCCTCGCCCCCCTGGTCGCCGAACTACCGACCCCGAGGATGGAGCCCCCCCAAACAGCTTCGACCGCGGGGCTTACCCTGAACATGCGAAGCGATTTGTTGCCAATGCCAGGCCTCCGAAACCTGCCGGCAACAACGTATGCCCTGGAGAATCGAACGGCCCGGATCGGGATCCCACGGCGGGTGCCGTCGACCGCGTCCACTCCGAGGTCCCGATGAGAGTCATGCAGTATCGACGTATCGAATGGCCACTGCGGATCCTCTAAGGGAAGGTCGAGCATCTCGTTGTCTGGAATGAAAGAACAAGACTCGGACGTGTTACTGGCAACTCGAACTGCTGCGCGGCTGACAGTATCAAACTCAGTGCCTCGGCCAGCTGCGCCGCAACAGTGCGCGAACCTCCGACAGCATGCCCCGTGATGTCGTCGACCAGATTGTTGGGCCGACAGGCGGGCGCGTCGAGCACCGTTAGCTTCCAATCTGACGACCCCCGTGGCGCAGAACCGCACTGAGGATAGTGGCGATGCTGGCGGCGACGATGGCGATGAGGACGGCAGAGCCAATGGCGGCGCCGATGCTGAGGGCTGGCCCAGAGAGCTGAACTGGGCCTTTGCGCTGGACCGTTGAGCACGTTTGGCTGGCCTGGTGGGCTGGCCCCTAGGCTGGCCAGCTGGGCTGCGCCACTGGGCTGACCTGCTGGGCTCGCGCGCCCCTGAGATGGCCTGCTACGATAACGTGGTGGGCTGGCCCATTGGCGTTGTGCTGGCCCGTTGGCTGGCCAGCTAGGTTGGCCCTTTCGGCTGGCCTGCTGGGCTGGTCCAGGATGCGGGCATTGCCTCGGGGCCTTGCTGAAAATTTGCCTGTCGGGGAGGCCCCGCCGCAGTCGTGTTTTTCGGCCAGACGGCGGGAGTCGCGCGCGAAAGCCAACGGACTCGGCGCGGCCCTCCGTAGAGCACGCGCAGCTAGCGGAGCAGGCCAAGGTCGAAATCGTAGTGCTCTGCTGCCTGCCACATCGCCACGCGCGAGGCTTCAGGATCTCATCTTTGGCATTGGAAGCGCTGAAAACTCTGCGCGGGTCCTCGACGCGCGCCGCAGGGGCCGCCCAGAAATTCTGGATGCGCAGGCCGTCGCGAAAGTGCGCGCAGACAGGTGTGTCCGACATAGCCTGTGGCGCCTCCGCCCAGCGCGCAAGCGTCGAGGAGGCCGCGAAGAAATCGCGCTCCGATGGCCCGCGGGGCGGCCTTTCCGGCGCAAGCGGCACGCCCCCGACATGATCAGCCCAGCGTGGCGCCAGATGAGCAGAGCCGACCTTCTCCTCGTCGAAGGACATGGCTTCCTGGGCGAACAATATGTCGGGCCGCCTGCCTCGCGCCTGTAGCCGCTCACTGGAGGCAAGCAGGGCATTCCTTGGCATGGCCAACTGTCAGGTGGATCGACCCCGCCCGCTGCGATCTCCGCGCGCACCTTAGAGATGGACACTGGCTCCGTAGCCGCTTCCACTGCCCCAGGGCCCGACGGCGCCCTGGCGCAGACCTGCGTGCCCCAAGGAGCTGGCACAAAGGACTGCGCGGTGCAGCTTGGCACTTGCTCGCAGAGCACCTGCGCGAACCGCGTGAGGTCAGGCGCCTGCGTGCCGAGCGGGTCGAGGCGTTGCTCCAGGAAGCTCTTGGCCTTGACCCCGTCCAGCTGGAGCATTGGGGGCCGGGGCGGTTGCTGCAGCAGCAGGCTCGGGCTGGACGCCTTGCGCCATGCCCTGCGCTGCACGCTCCATCTGGTGCGCCTCCAGCTGGCCCAGCTCGGTATCCTGCGTCTGGACGCGCTTGTCGGCGTCTCGTAGCGCCGACTCAGCCTCGCTGAGCCGCTTGCGATTGGCCTCCTGCTGCTTCTTGGACTTGGGCAATTTCTGCTCGGCCTTGTCCACTTTGCCTAACAAGGGCCCGCAGACGCTTGCAGCATGACTGGTCGTCTAGCAGCTTCTGCTCGAGCTGCAGCTTCCCCTGCGTGAGTTTATCGCGTAGTTTGGACCACCTATCGCCCACCAGGCCTGAGATGGCCGACAGCTCCCGCTCGACAGTGGACAGGCGCCCTCGGGCAGGACCTCGTATCCAAGGTCCCCGTCGAAGACCTCTGCCGCTGTCTGGCCTGGCCCAGCTCCAACCTTGGCCAGCTTGACCTCGAGCTGCTTGACCTTGGCGGCGAGCTTGGCCACTTCCGAAACTTTGAACTACGGGGCATGCGCGCCGTTGGCAGCTCCCTTGGACCCTGTCGAAACCGAGGGCCCCTTGGCCTGAATATAGCCCCCTGAAGCAGGAACTTGTTGACTGCTTGCACAGGTGGCACTGCTTGTCCTCCGCGACATAGAGGAACTGCTTGCGAGTCCGTTCGTTCTTGTATGTCTTGCAGAACCAGTTCCGCTGATGCACGTCAGAGGAACCATCGCGGGAGTCCTGGCTCCAAGAAACTCAGTCGTGGCCCGACAGCTCGACTCGGATTGCACCAACTGGCGATGGTCGAGCCGCGGACTGGTGGCATGCCATTGTGGCAGTGGGCTCAGAGCCCCAAAGTGGAAGATCTTTGGCCACACTGGTTACGGAGAGGAGAAAGGATGAGAGAAACGGAGGAGAAGAGATGCGGAGGAGAGGGAGGACGACGAGGACGAGGAGGAGGAGGAGCAGGAGCGAGGGGAGGAGGAGGAGAACGAGGAGTAGGAGAAAGAGAAGGAGTTCAAGGAGGAGGAGAAGGAGAGGAGGAGGAGGAGGAGGCGGAGGAGGAGGAGGAGGCGGAGGAGGAGGAGGAGGAGAGAGGTCGACACCACTAGCGTATATGTGTACGTGAAGAGAGCGTGGCCGAAGCCGACGACGGCAATTCGCACGAGCTCTTCCTTTCTCTCTGTTTATTGGAGGAAAGGGGGGGGGAGCTCGAGGGGAAGAGGGAGGAGCTGAAGGGGCAGTCGCAAGAGGAGGAGAAGGAGGGGGAGGGAGGTCGGAGAGGAAAAACGGAGGGAAAAGGATGACCCAGACCCCCTCTCGCGGCGACAAGAAACACGACGGACATGTTGCAGACAACCTCCGGCATCTGAGGGCTCTTGCATGGCCTCGGGACCAACAGCAAAAACCGCCTGGAATGAAACACCAGCCCCTGGGAAGAGGTCGAGACCTGCGGGGGTACGCGTTGGGAACACATCCCGGCGTCGGGGGGCCGTGGAGGACCCACACCTCCTCAGGGCGCACCGAGGAAAGCCAGGACGGCCATCATTGAAAGGGCCCTGGGACACACAAATAAATACATGGAAAAATAAAAGGATTCCCCATATTCTCCCATATGTTCTGGGTTTTTGTCTTCCCCACCACTGCCCATATTTTCCCATATTTTCTGGACAATCGACGATTAACTGGGCCTGTGTGTTTCTTTCCCTCCTGAATCATGTCGAGGCCTGGGCCCAGGGTCCGCCTCGAACCCTGGAGGCCCACAGCGCGCAACTCACGGTGGGAAATCCACGCGCAATGTGGTGACGAGACCTCTCCGGAGCCCAACGTGTGGAAGAAATCGGGATGCTGGAGGTCTGGGGAGAGAGAGAGAGAGGGGAACGAAAAGGAAAACGATGAGGGAAGCGGGATGGGGGAGTGAAGAGGATGGGAGCGGAGAGGAGGAAGGAGCATGGAGGAGGACAGCGCCTGGGAGAAGGAGGAGAGGAGGACGGGGGGGTACCCCCCCCTAATTGCAACGCCCGAGCTCCAGCTCAGGTCCAGAGTGGAGACGGACCCGCTGTCCAGCAAAGCGGCCATGCACTGCGCGCAGACGCTCTTCTCTCTGAAGCCCGACTCTGCCAGGCTCACGGTCTGGAGCCGGGGATGGTAGCCGATGGCGGTGCAGAGAGGCAGCTGCAGCTTGGTGGATATCGCGACGTGGCTGAGGTCCAGATGGACCAGCATGCTGGCCGAGTCCACCAGCTTCACGAGGCTGCCGATGGCGACCACGCCCGCTCGCGTGCAGTTCGCCAGCATCAGCTTCCGCACAGTCTTCGCCAGCGGCTCCATGCACAGCTGCCGCAAGAGCGGCCCCAAACTGGTGTCCGTCAGCATACGGTTATTGCTCAAGTCGACCTCCTCCATGGCCTCCATCTCCTCAAAGCCGTCCACTGCGATCGCTCAGCCCAAACCCGACCGAACCGACAGGGAAACCGAACTCGACAGACACCGACAGGCCGCCAGCAGCCCAGAAGGCTGCGGCGATGCAGCAACGACACGACGACCGACCAAGCCGAACCGAACGCGACCGACTGCGACGCAATTGAACCGACCGAACCGCGGACACCCCGACTCCTGCATCGCACCGGCGAGGGCCAGGACATCGCTGTCCATCAAATCTTCTCCCGCCGCGGCCACGGTCTTGGAGTGACCGGTCATGCAGCGGAGCGGCACTGGCACGTTTCCCTTTGCGTCGCAGTCCGTCAGGTACCTTCGGGCCGTCTCACAATCGAACTGTGCAGACGAGCACTGACCGAGCCGACGGCATCATCGGATCGAGTAGATCGGGCGAGTCAAGGTATCGGTCGCCCGAGTGGTCGATGGGACTGGTCGAAATCGCTTGCACGTTGCGACCGATCGAAGCTGTCGGATCAAACCATACCGAAGGCACATAAGATAGTGACAGAAATAGAGGGCGACACCATGAGTCAATTTGATGTGGCCAGGACACATCGTCACAGAAACTTTCAGGGTGACGGACCAACTGGCCATACACTGCCACTGGGTGCGTGGCTGAAGATGCCCGAAGGGGGTTCTGTGGTGCTGCGGCGCACATGCTCTACATCCCAATCTGCGAAATGGCACGTTGAGATACATGCTGCTGGGGGCCCTCTCTGACGCACCCGTTGGCTTCAAACATAGATCGGTCCGTGGTGTATCATAAGTTTGAAAGGCAAACGCAGAACCGATCGCGGCCAGACCGTGTCTCTCGGGTGTCCTAAACGCAATCCCTGCGAGGAGGCCCCCCTATACAGCGCTCCCGAGGAGGCCGTCTAATCCTCTCAGGGCAACTGTGCACTCAGAGAGATCCTTATTTGCCCCCAGAGGTCCAAACCTCTTCCCCTCTCACATAACCAGCCTCGAACTTATCCCTATTCCTAAGATGGACAGGGCCCAAAGGCGATGACAGTCTTAGAGATGTGCCCTCGAGAACTGAGGGAGCCCTTATGTTCAGCATCGGGATGAGGCGATACCAATCATAGGGATAGGGATATGTTTCAGGCTAGTAGTTAACCAAAACCACATTGCGTCTGGTGACGAATTCTTGAACCCCTGAAGCCTCAGAATATGATATCTCTTGTAGAGGCCTCTTAGATGGGGTCGGAGTAGATGGGGTCGGAGGATCGCGCCGCATCGCCAATACATCGGCGATGCATCTGCGATGATCTGCGATGCAGCGGCGATGCATCGGCGATGCATCGTCGACGTCGGCGATGCATCGGCTACGTCGACGTGAAGCAAAGCGGGCTGCACATCGAGCCGCATCGGCGATGCATCGGCGATGCGGCGCGATCCTCCGACCCCACCTACTCCGACCCCATCCAGGAGGCCTGGGCCTTGGGGGCGCACCGTTTACTTCCACTGGCCTCCGACAGCCTTCCGCGGGCGGGGCCGCCCCCGTCCTGGTTCGATCCCGCGCTGGCGAGGCCCCTTTCTGGGCGCTCCCGCGGCGCCTCTGGCGCCGCTCCTGGCGCGCCCCGCGCGCCGGGGTGGAAGGTCCAGCGCAGTTCCAAGAAATCCGCACGGAGCGCTAAGAAGTTGATGTATATGGCGTATGTTCTTCTTCGGTCTGGGTCCGCTCTGCCCCCAGCAGGGGGGTCCGCGCGACGTCTCACTGCGATGGGCAACCGCTGCGGCTCCGCAGCCCTCCGAGGCCCTGGTCTGCTCTGCGACTCGGGCCGCGTTCGCCAGGTACCCAAGGCTTGCAAGCTGCGAAGACACCTCCAGGACTCCCTGGTGACCACCCGTGCAACCCCTCGGATCGCGAGGCGAGTAATAAGGAGCGGACACCATCGAGCCGACACATCGGATCGCCTCGGAACGTGCGTCGGGGGTCGGGCCGCGCCTGCACGGAGCCGGCGTCGAATCGGACCCACCGCGCCGGGACGCACAACGGCACCACGCGAAAGCACCAGGCCGCATCGGGCCGCCGGAATGCCGAAGAGCCGACTCGCACGGGGGCAGCCGAAGTCGACCTCGCCTCGGACCGATCGGCTCGAAGCGGGCCCTGCAGGGGCAGGGCGCCGTCTACCGCGGGGGCTCGGGCGGCCGTCCGGGACGACTCGGGGCGACCCCCCCCTCGGGGGGTGCCCTCGGCGCGGCGCCGCTGCGGGAACGCGCCTCGAGGCGAGGGAGCCTCCGAGCACCGCCGAGAGCCTGCGAGCGCTCCCGAGGCCCGACGGCGGTCCGACGATCGCCCTCGAGCGACGTGGGCCCCTCGGCAGACGTCCTCCCGCGGGCGCCTGTGCCTGCTGAACGCGAGCGGCGGCAGGACCGGGGCGGCGTGCCTGCTTCACGGGGGGGGGAGAACACGCCATAGACACAGACTTTTGGAGGTCCGCGCGGGCGTCTCCTTGGAGCTGCGCTGGACCCCCCCTCCCCCGGCGCGCGGAGCGCGCCAGGGGCGGCGCCGGAGGCGCCGCCCGGGGGGGGTGGGGGCCCAGCGCCGATCCAAGAAATCCGCGCGGAGCGCTTACAGTTTATGTTTCTGTTCAAGTCGGGCCTGTCCCACTGCAGTCGGGACGATTTGTTTTTTCCATTTTTGACCATCTTCGAATGATTGTTGACTATTTCTCCTTGTTCGTCCGGAATCTGACCGTATGGGGACATGCCCGACCTAGGTTTACACGTCGGTCGGAAGAAGTAGGTAGAAACATGAAGTAGGAAGGCGGATAAAGTGGATTGGGTCCAGGCCCTCCCAGAGAATAACAAAAACAGCAAAAGCATGGCGATTCTTGAAGTAGGAAGGCGCTTGTAGTAGATTGGGATCTGGGAATCCAGAAATACCTACTTTCAACGACTGGCGTGTATGTTTATGGCGCTCTTTCTCCTTCGCGTGCCTGCTTCGCTCGAGGCCGAGGCCGCGCGGCAAGCACGGGGCGGCGGGCTCGGAGGAGCTCTTCAGGAGCCCGCGGGTCCACTGCGTGAAGCTCCGCCCGAGGCTGGGCGGGGCCTTCCCGACCGGGCTCCTGCGGTCCTGAGCTCTGGGGCGGCTCCCCCCGCCACGGGGAGGAGGAGGAGGAGGAGGAGGAGGAGGAGGAGGAGGAGGAGGAGGGAGGAGGAGGAGGAGAGGAGGGAGGAGGAGGAGGAGGAGGAGGAGGAGGAGGAGGAGGAGGAGGAGGAGGAGGAGGAGGAAGGAGGAGGAGGAGGAGGAGGAGGAGGAGGAGGGAGGGGGAGGAGGAGGAGGGAGGGGGAGGAGGAGGAGGAGGATCTCTTGGGGGTCTTCCTTCCAGTGGCTGCGCCTCGCCGAGGACGTGCTGGGGGCGCGCCCTGGTCGTCCCGAAGGGCCGCCGGAGACCGCCGGAGACCCGAGTTAGGACCCGAAGGCTGGACGACGAGGGGCCCTGTCCCTGCGGGCCCAGGGGGGGGCGAGTGGAGACATCGGCAGCCGGCCCCTCGGAGGGCGCCCTCGTCGCCAGGGCTGGGCGCGGCTCGGACGCGCACGGTGCGTGGGGGCCCCCGGGGAGGGCTCCCCGGGGGCCGATCGCTGCTGAGCTGCCGTTGCCTCGACGCGCCCTGCTCCGAGGCAGGGGAGAGGCGCAGATGCTTCGAGCCGCGTCCAACCTCGGCGACGAGGGCCCCCTCGAAGGCCAACTGCCGCTGTCTCACCCAGGAGGAGGAGGAGGAGGAGGAGGAGGAGGAGGAGGAGGAGGAGGAGGAGGAGGAGGAGGAGGAGGAGGAGGAGGAGGAGGAGGGGGGAGGACCCCTCGGCCTGGCATCGGTGGCGCATCGCCGGGAGGTCGGCGACAGGCCCGCGGGTGACGGCACCCGAGCGTTCCTGGGCGGGGTGGGGCTCCCGGGCCCCCGATGGGCGACGACGGGGGGGGAAGGGCGTGCCGTGTCGCCCCCTCCCCCCCCTGGAGGGCAGTCCCCCCTTTGAGGTTGCCCCGGAGGTCCTTCTTGCCGCGGGGCGACGCGGCGATGCTCGGCAGGTCCCTCGGTAGGCCCGCTTCCAGCTGCGGCGTGCTTTTCGCCGCGGCGACGTGGGCGTCTCTTTCTCACGCCGCGTGGATCGCTCATCGGCGGCGAGCGAGGGGGGGAAGTGAGAAGGGGCGGGCCTTCTCAGAAGGGTCGAACGTCCACCGGCCTTCTGAACAGTTTTCTAAGCCTTCCCCGAAGACACGACACAGCCTCCCAGACGGCGCGAGGGCTTCTTCTGAGAAGTCCCGTCGCCTTCTGATAGGGCTTGCCCCTTCTCGCTTTCCCCCTCGCTCGCCGCCGAGTTCAGCCTTGAGCGATCGCAGCTGTCAGATAGACAGCACAGATCGTGTGGCATCGGCTGATATCCCATCGGTCGGAAGAAGTAGAAGTAATTAGGTAGAGACACGAAGCAGGAGGGCGTTGACATTAGACTGGGTTCCGTCCGCCCCCTCAGGAGGACGGCAAAGGGTGAAGCCACTCGATCATTGAAGCAGGAAGGCGCTTGACGTATTTCGTCACCTGGGGATCCCACAGCACACACACTTTCAGCGACCGATGGGCAGGGCGCAGCGGGCACCCGGCGGCGTTCCACCTCCCCGGAACGCTCGCGCTCGGGCCGCCGCCGCCGCCAGCGCGGCGAGAGCGCACCGCGTGGCGCGGCGGGCGTCGCGCGAGGACGGGGCGTCGCGAGGCCGGCAGAGCCGCCCCGGACAGGGGGCATCGGTGCGGCATGGTGCATGGTGCGCACAGAGACGTGCTAGTGCTGTAGGTCCGCCCTGGAGGCGCGCGTCCGACCCGAACACGCAGCACACCCATCTTGCAGAATATCGTTTCCCGAGCGGTGTGGCCAGAAAGCACCCGCCACGACGCATCTACTGTGAGATTTCCCGGTTTCGCGCGTCGCCCCTGGGGGGGGGGGGCGACGGACACACACAGCAGGAGTGTGCTGGGGCGACGCCGAAGACGAGGGGGCATCGCGGCGGCACAACTGCCACGAGCGTGCGGAAGGCGGCTCGTGCCGCAACGAGCCCCAGCGCTGCTTCCGACACCGCGCGGATCGGCCAGCCCTCCGGAGGAGGAGGAGGAGGCAGGCAGGGAGGGAGGGAGGGAGCGAGGGAGGGAGAGGAGGGAGGAGGAGGAGGAGGAGGAGGGGGAGGGGGAGGGGGAGGGAGGGGGGAGGGGGAGGGGGAGGGGGGAGGAGGAGGAGGAGGAGGAGGAGGAGGAGAGGAGGAGAGGAGGAGGAGGAGGAGGAGGAGGAGGAGGAGGAGGAGGAGAGGAGGAGGAGGAGGAGGAGGAGGAGGAGGAGGAGGAGGGGAGGGAGGAGGAGGAGGAGGAGGAGGAGGAGGAGGAGGGGGAGGAGGAGGAGGTGGAGGAGGACGAGCCGCCGCTTCCCGATCGCAGGATCGTTCCCGTGACGGCCGACTTCGGGCCCCTGGCGGCGTTCGGACACTTGAGCGCCCGCGGCGGGGCCGCCGCGTCGGCACGACGAGACACTGCCGCACAGGGCGTGACTGCATCGGCGGTTGCGCTGCACTGGCCATCGCTCGGACGTCCATTTCCTGTGTTTTTGGTTCCGTGCGTGGCTTGTTCGCGAAATGATCAAGGATGCTCCTCGATGGTCCTCGCCGAAGGAAAATCACACGTCCGAGCGATGCCAAGTGCATGAGGTGGAAGCCTGGATGGCGGTGGCTGGCGGTGATCGCTGCGAGTCTGAAGCTGAAGGCCGGGAGGTCGGCCGCACGATGCGAGAGGCCGATGGGTGGAGGTCGGAAGCTGGGCGTGGAAAATTGGATGTTGTCAGCTGTCGGTGGATGGTGGGAGTCGGAAGTTGGACGCATAATGTCGGTCAGTGAGGTGAAGTCGACAGGTGGAGGTCGAAAGCTGGAGGCGGAAGATTTGGGAATCGGCAACTGTGGGTGGATGGTGGGAGTCGGAAGTTGGAAGCTGGATGCCAGTGGCGTGAGGCGGGAAGTCGATGGGTGGAGGTCGACGGCTGGAGCTGGAAGATTGGACATCGACTAGAAATGGTGCATGGTGGGAGTCGAACATCGGAAGCCGGAGGGCGGCCAACAAAAGTCACTCCGGCGAAGGGTCCCTCTTCCGTCTAGCCGACCGTGTTCTTCAGGACCCTTCGCCTTCGTGGCGGTCTTAAGAGTGTCTCGATTGTTCGCGTGGGTGGCCGTCACTGGCCATGGCCGTTCGCCCCCCCCCCCGTCCCCGGTGCAGTCAACCGGTACGATAAGGACGCGCGATACAGTCATCAACGATAAATAAGGAACGAAGCCCCTGTTTTCCAAGGAAGAAAACATAAGGAACGAGAAATAATAAAAAAACGCGCAAGGAACGATACGTAACGCATGCAAGCCTTCAGGAACGACCGAGCCCCTTTTGAAGAGTAAGTGTTCATTACTCAAGCCGCTCACTGTAAGGATGCAAGGGCCCTGGAAGGCCATGTCGACACTTCGCGGGCGGGGGGCGGCCCGCGAAAGCGGCCAAGGATGGGCTGAATGGGGACGGGTGCAAGGGCAACTTTGGGAGATTGCGCATCCTTGCCGTGCGGGTCGACTGTGACGTCTTGCTTCGTGCTGACGTCCGACTGGTCCTCTCAACAGTTTCAGACGGCGCCGGAGCAAGACGTGACACTGGCGCCCGCCCCCACCCTCCCCCCCGGGGGTAGAAAGTCCGCTATCGCCCGGCAGTGCACAAAAGCGATCTCCAGAACACCCACCCCTTCGCGCTGCACCCATGTGCGGGCCGCCGGCTCCCGCGGGGCGCGGGGTGCGCGATCCGATGCCGTGCAGACGAGCGGGGCCATACTGGGCCCGCGGCCCGGAGGCGCCGAAGCTCTTCCGGTTGGGGTCCAGCCCCAAGCTGGTCCGGCCACCCGTGGTCGAAGCGGTGCCTTCACCCCACGCGCCCACCCCGCTGGCGCCTTCCGCGCTCTCCCCTGCACCATCCCGCTCCCCTTCTCCACGCTCCTCCCCTCCTCCCTCCTCCCTGCCTGCTCCTTCTCCTCCCTCCCTCCTCCTAACTCCCTGCCTCATCCCTCCTGCTTCCTTCCTCCTCCTCCTCCTCCTCCTCGTCCTCAGCTCTCTTGCTGCGTCCTCGTCACGCCCCATTGTTACTCTTGCCCGTCGTCTTGCTTCCCATCCTGCAGCCCCGCCTGCCCCATCGGCTTCAGCCCCCCTCATTCCGCCTGCCCCATACCACCGCCCCTCGGCTTCAGTACCCCTCCTGCTCCTCCTCCTCCTCCTCCTCCTCCTCGTCCTCCTCCTCCTCCTCCTCCTCCTCCTCTCCGCTCCACCTCCTCCGATCCGTTCTCCTCCATCCTCCGCTCCTCGCTCGTGTTCAGCCTCCTCCTCCTTTTCCTCCTCGTCCTCGTCCTCCTCCTCGTCCTCCTCCTCTCTCTCCTCCCTCTCCTCCTCCTCCTCCTCCTCCTCCTCCTCCTCCTTTTCCTCCTCGTCCTCCTCGTTCTCCTCTTCCTCCTCCTTTTCCTCCTCCTCCTCCTTTTCTTCCTCTTCCCTCTCCTTTTCCTTTTCCTATTCCTCTTCCTCCTCCTCCTCCTCCTCCTCCTCCTCCTCCTCCTCCTTGTCGCAATGCCGTCGGCCGTTCCCAATCCGCGCTAGCATGCGCGCCGCGCGCCCGCGGGAGGGCGCCCGACCGGCGCGGGCGCGGCCCCCCCCCCAGACGCCACGTGTTGGTCACTTCCGAAGAAGGGGAGCGGAGGGGAAGGCCACCTCAACATCCAGATCCTGAAGCCCAAGAGGAGGGGAAGGAGGAGGAGCGGCCAGGCAACCCATGATGTACTTGATGTAGACGTGGCATCTTGTCAGTACCGTTAGTACTTGTATTACTCTTGCGCGCAACGCTCTGCACGGTGTACCTAGCTCGTAGCGATGAAGACGACGTGCCCTGTCCGTAGCGCTGAACACATCGTACAATCCAGGCATTCGATAGCAGCGTGTGTCAGTAGCGAGGTACCGATTTGTTCTGGAAATTAAGTAGTTCCCAGAAGCCACCTCACTCAGGCGTCTGCTTCGATCGTAGATTATATCGTAGGTACGTTCGTCGTCACATAGCGTCAGGAAGAAGTGCGCTACGCCTGGTTGCCCTTCCGCGGCTGTCATGCCATATGGTTTCTGAACCACGTCATCGCTTTGCAGCAAATGTTCTGGTACTGGAAGGACCTGACCGCCCTCGGGGAGATAGCACCAAAGAGGCGCTGCGTATGCCTCCCGTGGTGCCAGGTGCCAGCCCTGCCCGCTACCAGCATCGTGTGATCCGGGTGCGCCTTCGAGCCCATCGACGTCTCGCCGCGAACTCTAGCGGGCCAGTCTCACAGTGTGCCCTTTGGCGAGTGGCACGTGTAGCTCTGCTGGTGGCCATTGTGGCTCAGCTGGAGATCCTCGTAGTCGTTCCTGTGGCCCTCGTAGCTGTGTTGTTTGTGGTCCTCGTAGTTCAGCATGTGGCCCCCGTCGGTCTGTTGAAAGCTCTGGAAGCTCAGCAGGTGGCCCAAGAAGTTCTGCCATTGGCTCTCGTAGCTCAGGTTGTGGTCCTCGTAGCTCGGGTTGTGAGCCTCATAGTTCAGCATGTGGCCCTGGCACAACTCCTTGTGCTTCTCGTGGCTCAGCTGGAGGTCCTCGTACTTGAGCTGGTGGCCCTCGTAGAACTGTTGATGCTTTGGTAGCTCAGCATGGCACAAGAAACTCTACAAGTGGCTCCCGTAGCTCATGTTGTGGTCCTCGTAGCTCGGTTTGTGGCCCCCGTAGTTCAGCATGTGGCCCTTGTAGTTGAGCGAGTTGCTCTTGCTCAGCTTGTGGCTCTGGTACCTCTCCTGGTGCCTCCTGTTGTCCAGCTGGAGGTCCTCGTAGTCGTTGTTGTGGTCCTCGTGCTGTGCTTGTGGTCCTGCCAGTGGCTCCCGTAGCTCAAGTTGCGGTCCTCGCGACCCTTCTGGTAATCCTCGTGGCTCAGGTGGTGGTCCTTGTAGCTCAGCAGGTTGCCCTTGCAGCTCTGCTGGAAGCTTTTGTAGCTCAGCAGGTGGTCCTTGTTTCCCAGTGGCCCTCGTAGTACAGCCAAGCGTCCTCGTGGTTCAGCCGGCGGCCCTCGGAGCTTTGCTGGTGGTTCTTGTAGCTCAGCTGGTGGCCATGGTGCCTCTCCTGGTGCTTCTCGTGGCCCAGCTGGAGGTCCTCGTAGTTGAGCTAGTGGCCCTCGTAGAACTGTTGGAGGCTCTGGTAGCAGCTCAGCAAATGGCCCAGGAAGCTCTGCAAGTGGCTCCCGTAATTCAGGTTGTGGTTCTCGTAGCTCGGGTTGTGGCCCTCGTAGTTCAGCACGTGGCCCTCGTAGTTGAGCGAGCTGCTCTTGTAGCTCTGCTGGTGGCTCTTGCAGCTCAGCAGCTGGCCCTGGTACCTCTCCTCGTGCCTCCTGTGGCCCAGCTGGAGGTCCTCGTAGTCGCGCTTGTGGCCCGCGTAGCTGTGCTTGTGGTCCACGTTGCGTAGCTGGTGGCCCTCGTAGGTTTTTGGAAGCTCTGTTAGCTCAGCAGGTGGCTCAGCTGGAGGTCCTCGTAGTTGAGCTGGTGTCCCTGGTAAAGCTGTGGGATGCCCTGGTAGCTCAGCAGGTGGCCCAGGAAGCTCTGCCTGTGGCTCTCGTAGCTCAGGTTGTGGTCTTCGTAGCTCGGGTTGTGGCCCTCGTAGTTCAGCATGTGGCCCTCGTAGTTGAGCGAGCTGCTCTTGCAGCTCAGCAGCTGGCCCTGGTACCTCTCCTCGTGCCTCCTGTGGCCCAGCCGGAAGTCCTCGTAGTCGCGCTTGTGGCCCTCGTAGCTGTGCTTGTGGTCCTTGTTGTTCAGCTGGTGGCGCTCGTAGGTCTCTGGAAAGCTCTGCTAGCTCAACAGGTGGCTCAGTAAGCTCTGCCGGTGGCTCACGTTGCTCACGTTGTGGCCCTCGGAACCCTACTTTTGGTCCGCGTAGTTGAGCTGGCGGCCCTCGTAGCTGGGATGGTCGCCCGTGTTGCTTACCAGTTGGCTTTGGTACTCTTCAGGGTGTCTCGTGGCTCAGCTGGAAACCCTCGTACTTGAGCTGGTGGCCCACGTCTGTTGGAGGTAGCTCAGCAGGTGGCGCAAGAAACTCTGCCAATGGCTCCCGTAGCTCAGGTTGTGGTCCTCGTGGCCCTGCTAATGGTCTGAGTACTTCAAGCCTCTTGGCCTCGTTGCTCAGTCGGTTGCCCTTGCAGATCTGCTGGTGGTTCTCTTAGCTCGCGGGCCCTGGCAGCTTTCCTGGCGCCTCTCGTGGCTCAGCTGGAGGTCGTCCGAGTTCAGCTTGTAATTTTCGAAAGTCGTCTGGTGGCCCTGATAGCTCTGCTGGTGGTTGTAGCAATTCAGACGGCACGCTCTCTTCGGAATCGGAATCGTCGGCTGCCCGGTCGCAGGGTTTCATGTCCTGGCAGCTGGCATGATCGCGGAAGTCGTAGGGGCACACGTCGCTAGCGAAGCAGCTACCGTAGTCGTACTGGTAATGCGCGGCGCGGCCGTAGTGGTGCTCGTCGTAAGCGGCGCGGCCGCTGTCTACTGGTACCTCCACGACGACGTACTTAGGAACCCCTTCGGTCTGCTCGGTCGTGTCGTTCCTGGTGATGGTCTTGGTGGCGTACTTGGCATAGTACTTAGGCTGCTTGTTAAGCAGCTATTCCTCGGACTTCATGTTACGCAGCTCGTCCCGTCCAGTATTGGCCGCCATCACGAAGGCTTTGGTCGCGATGGTCATGCTGTCGTGGAGGCCGACGTGGGTAAGTCTCGTAGCCGATGATGTGGACGTCTGGCTTGTAATTCCTCAGCTGGTGGAAAACTTCTCCCCACCGGTGTTGACCTTCTGGTGGCTGTTCCTGTGAACGCTGAAACCGCGCCGCCAGTGGCGGGGACGCGGTCGGGCTGGCCCCCGCGGGTGGTGGGAAACGCCCCCCCCCCCCCCTAGGGGGCAGGATGGCCCTGCTCCAGTACATGGACATTATATTCGAACCCTGTGGCCCAAGATGCCCCCCAGACCCCCGAAATCGATATTGATGGCGTGGCGACGGGGGGGGCGTGAGTGGACAGAAATATTCGAACCCCAAAGCACCGCCTTTACTGAGATCAACATTGATGTCGGGGGCGCGGGGGTGATTTAGAATCTCCCTCAAATGTGTAAGGGTTCGAATCTATTGTCCATGTACGCTCCTCCTCCTCCTCGTCCGCCTCTTCCTCCTCTCCCTGCCCCTCCATATCCCCTGCCCTTCTGCGCAGCTCCTCCTCGCTGCACCCACCGCGCGACGCGTCGGCACACGGCACGGCGGGCGGTGGGCGCGTCGCCAGAAGGCATCCTCACGCTCGGGACCCTGCGGCTCGACATTTTCTGCGTCGACGGCGGGCGTTGTTTCGCCAGCGTGCGAGGCTCGCCTCCGCCCCGCGCGCGTCTGCCTCACAGCGCCCGCGGAACTCCCACGGACGGAGCGCGGGACGCCTTCGACGCGCAGCCTCTGCCTCGCAAACGCAGACATTCGGGTCAAGAGCTTACAGCAGTTTGGCGCGGGTAGAAGGCGGGCCGTTCTCAAAATGTGGTCATCACACTGGCGCCGCGCCTTTTCGTCTGATACGCGTTCACTAGTCTCGCGGGTGGAGGGCAATGCCTTTCCAAGACCTTTCTCAAACCGGCTCTCGCGGGTTTCTTCCTTGACCTTTACGACAGTATCTAACTCATTCTTGCATGGAAATATTGAGGGAGGCTCCGTTTCAAAATGATGTATATTGCCTGACCGGCGTTCATCTTTCAAGGGGCACTTCGTCTTTCCAGGGAGCGCCTTCCGCAGTGGATAAAACAACGATTCTTGTAGAGACTTGTGAAGAAGGAGCTTCGGACGGGAATGTGTTGCAGAATTGTGGACGCATCCTGGAATTTCTTCTGATCGCTACTATTGTCGCAACGCCGGGCGTGTCGGTAGGGCGGGCAAATCATTTTGCTTGACAGATCCGCGCAATTGGCAGCCATGAAACTAAAAAGGTTCAGCTGTCGTACGGATCGAGGGGGGCGGGATGTTATTTTCAACGTGTGGCTCTTGCCTTCACGTCGCGCGCATGCGTTATCACAATTTCCAACATCGACGCGGATGGAAAACAGGACGTACTCAAACCGTATCTCGCCGTAGCACCGCGCAGGTCAGACTTCAGCGGCGTCCAGCGCATACACGGCTTGAGCACCAACGGTCTTCAACACGTGGATCTCGCCTTGGCGACGTGCGCAATCCTCACCCATGTTTCTGAACGGCTGCACGGATGGAGGTCGGCTCGTTTCCAGAGCGGTGCTGTCGCCGAGACCTCCTCGACGCTGACGAAACGCACTTGAGAAAGGTGCAAATGTTTTGCGGATGAAGGGCCTCTCGCGTTCAATCCTATCCTCCCGCTAAAGACGTCCCAAGCCTTTACGACTACGAAATGAACACAATTCAGCAATTACACGGGTCCAGGGCGCACTCCACGGACAGGCGAATAGAGAGTGCGGACCCCTATGAACAACAAGCTTTCGCCTGAAAGGCAAACGCATGGGGCGCTTGCCTTTTGGGGGGGGAGGGGGGCGCTTGCTGTAGTGGCAAGGGACCTTTTATGCTTAGGATCTTCTGGGGAGGGGCTTGGAACGTGTGTGTGTGTGTGTGTGTTGCTGCACCATTGCTGCACCCAGGGTTTCGCCTGGCCCTCCTTCCCCGCGTTCTCCCCACTCTTGCGCCTTTTTCCCAGCTGCGCCCGCAGTGCCACCTGGCCCGCCGGTAGCCCGCCAATCAGGGGGGGTCCTTCCCTACCTGGGCGACGGTCAAAAGCGGGTCTCACGCGAGATGACACAGCGACCTTACACTGCGGCTTAACGCGGGCCGCCAGCGCGGCGCGCTACATTGGAGACGAGGGCGCTGGCGCGCGACCTCTCGCGGACAGCTTGGGCGCCAATGTCGGCGCAGGCGGCCCCATTGTTTTGCGTCGCTGACCTGTGAACGACAATGTCAAATCTACCGTTTTGCGTCCAGCGTGGACATCACCTGACCCGCGTTGCAAGCTGCGCGGCGGGAGCGGGTCGGGGCGCACCTCCCGCGCGACAAGAGCCGACGGGTCGCTCATGCCTCGGCGGCGCCGCGTCAACTTCTCCGGGGGCTTGAGCTCCCGCGGGGGCGCGGCGCACACGGCGTGCACGCCGCCACTCCGGCGACGCGCGAGCGGACGAGCATGCCGCCCTCGCCTCGGCGCCGCAGAACTTTCGCGTGACAGTGGCGCTCCCGCCTCGGCGCGGCCCACAC